GTGGTTTCCACTGGAAACCATCACTAATTCTAGCGGAATTTGTCAGGATGGGCTAATTGACCTGCGGTTTCGTCCTCACCTGTCATCTTTCACTGGTGCCCTGCCAGTGTATACCGTTAACGCTGACGGGGTTTACATTCCAATATCACCAATTAAAAAAAATGTGCTAAGAGGTTAATAAAGTCTAGACGTGTCCTGCGGTTTTATCCGCGTGAATCGGTATATAAAGTATCCTATATGCTAAGCTAGGATATAAACTATCTGTGTATCAAATTTTATTCGAGTCCGTTTAGTAATTTTTATGTGAGAAAGTATCAAACATTCATTCATCCATTGTTAGAAACTTTCGTACATTAATAGGATTAATAAGGATGTTCAGAATATAATTATATTCCTAACTTACGTAGGTATTTAGCGAATACATAGGTGTAATTAAATCAAATAATGGCATATTTTATTTCTTACTACCACATTCTGTTTTTTTTTAGTCCAAAATAAAAATCTAAACGCTTATAGTCGTGACCACAAATAAGTCACTTTCTAGATGAATAATTCTAAACTAATCGATCATTTATCATTATGAACGTGTACCGGCGCACACGCATCTGACCGGAAGTGGCGTATGACTGAGTACCGTTTCCGTCGGCCATTACTGTCGCTAGGATTGACTGGTAAATGAAGCGAGACTCATTGTTTGAGCCCTTTCTTTTAATTTAGCGATTTAGAGGGTCATTGTACTAAGTAAACATATATTTAGCTAAATGATGAGAGTACAAGGTACCTACTTATTTATCGAATGTAATAAGTACGTTAAGTGATTTTAGAGTGTATTTATAAAGTTTTACTAATATCATAAATATGAAACTGAATTTATTTTCAGAGGGAGGCCTCATCAGAAGGAGACTTTGTACAAAAGTCGTTTGCTGTGTTTTGGTTTGAAGGGTGAAATATGGTAGTGAATATACAGGGTACAGAGGAAAAACACCCGACTTTGGCGTTACTCAGGAATGGCAACGCATAGGTGGTATCATGGGCGAAACAGTATACTCTGTTATGTCCATGCTATAGGCGACTATACTGCTCATGTCTATAGGTGACGGTTACCACTTTCCATCAGGTGGGCCGTCAGTTTGTTTGCTATTCTAAGTTGTATAAAAAAAAATTGTAAAAACAATTAAAGAAATAAAAATCAAAATTAATTGATGAAACTTCATTCCATAGGATAGCTTTTTGTTTTCGCGTGGTACATATGTAGTCAATGGAGAAAAGGTTTCGTCTTGAATAATCTTTATCTGTATGTAATGTGACAATTTCAGACACTTGTACATCTATTTGTCAGTTACTTGTTCATTGGTATAAAAGTGTATATGTGGCAGGAAAATATAGATACTAGGAATCTTGGGAAATAATAATAAAATCCTTCACAATATATACGTACGTAATCACAGATGTTCAAAACTATCTCTTATGTTTTTATTACAAAAAAATCATGTGACATGAAATGATATTTCTTTAAGTTTTTATTAAACTTGATATTAACATTTGTTATTATTGTACTACATTTAGTAAACTAAAAATGAAATATCAAATGATATATTACTGAGAATACGATAGTATTTTGTAGTGTTATTAGATTTTTCAGGATGAACACGCAACAGATTACAATATACGTCATTTTCCATGACTTCATGGTTTAACTAGATGTTTCACAAAATCCCAAGTATTATCATTTCCTCACGACGCATAAATAATTTAATAGGTACATAATTCCATTACTTATATTGTTACGTATTGAAATATGTACATTTTTTTAAGACTATTAATTATTTATGCATGCTACAAGGAGAACTTACGAGAATAATTTAATTATTAATAATATAAATTATTTAGATTTTTTAAATAAAAACTATGGACAAATCAATAGGTATTAGAGATAAATTAAGTTTATAGGTTTGCTTTAGCAATATTATCTATTTGTTAATACAGTTTAGTATTTCATACAAATCATACAAGATTGTAATAAGTCCAGTTACGTGGATATTAATTAATTAGGTTTGAAATTTTGGTATAGACACAATGCAATGTATAGCTGTCAGTATTAAAAGTTTTTACATGTTTACAGATTTCCAAAATGCGTAATGTAACAACCGTTGCGTATATAAGTAACTCAAGAAGGATAGTGCTAGAATTAGATGAAAGGTCAAAATTAGTTTAATATATACTCTTACATACATATAGGTGTAAGTCTTTTAAGGCGACTTTTGACGTTAACCGTAATCATTACACATCTATTTCGCCTGAAACTATTGTAGATATACTTACTTAAAAAATATCGACATTCGTCATCTCTCATAAAATGACGAATATCCTATGTCCACATCATATGTTATTATTAGTGATATTATAGCAAGTAATAGTAAATATTTTGCATCATACTCTAACATCCACACCTAGAGAAAGATTAATCAGCATTTATTTTAAAAATTGGGTGATTGCCAACGTGGTCTTATAGTGGTGAATCACCTTAAATGATCCTACGCTAGGGATGTCAATGCTTTAGTTGTTAGAATAGACAATACTTGAAGAATTTATATTTTTGTCGTATATTAGGCACATTCTGTATTATATATTTTTTAATGTAATTTAGAATACAAAGAAGCTGACGGCCCACATGATTGAAAGTGGTAACCGTCGCTTATAGACATGAACAGTATCATGGACATAGACAACACAACAGAGTATACTGTGTAGCCTATGATACCTCGCATGTGTTGCCATTGCTGGGGACTAAGGTGTTAAATATATATATGAGTACATACATATATACGTGTTATATAGATATTGACATTGAATGAATGATTCAATGATAGGTTTATTACTTTTGACTACTATTGACTTGATTTCCATAATTTCACCATCATCATTATATCAGCTGTTAACTGTCCACTGCTGAACATAAGCCTTCTTTATTGAGGGCTTTTGCCGGTAGTTGCCACACTTGCCAGATTTTCATAATTTGATACTTTGTATATTGAAGCATATAACGATTAAGATAAAATATCTTAATGGGCGAAAATAGTATGCACGACTGCCCTTTTGATATATGCGGACGGGACACCAGTGACGGATAATTGGTGAGGATAAAAGCAGGTCACTTAGCCCATCATATCGAATTCAAGAATTAACCACAATGGTTCCCCCCAGATAAAGTATCTACAACAATAATATTGTTTTAGATTCTTTTACCTTTTGACAGGTTGGCATTTTGGAAGGGACCAGATAAAGATAAGTATGTATATAAGTACTTAATATAGTCACATGCTATTTTTGTTATACTTTTGATAAGCACGTAGAAGACGTTTGACGTTTACACAGATTATTTGGACGAGTTATTATATTAGATATTGAAATTAGTACTTAAAGAAACAATGATTATTTCTTGTATATATCATCTATTAATATGATAATTTATAACTATACTAGCTGACTCGGCAAACGTTGTTTTACCATATACGTTATTTCGAGAATTATACATGAAAATTTATCCTTTTACAATTATTATATTCGATTGCCATTGCCATTCTTGCAATCCTATTGCGGCATATAAAAATCGCGATTAAAAAAACAGAGTTCATCGTAAAAGCGTGAAAATTTTAATTTATATGTATTTTTAATGTTAAATCATAATAAAATAAAAATAAACAAAATTGTCAAAAAAAGAAAAAATATTTTTTGGGTGTGGGTCACCCTTATTATTGAGGGGTATGAAAAATAGATGTTGGCCGATTCTCAGACCTACCCGATATGCACACAAAATTTCATAAAAATCGGTAAAGCCGTTACGGAGGAGTTTGGTAACAAACACCGTGACACGAGAATTTTATATATTAGATTGTACGACTAAATTTTTAATTCACTTCCGATTTAATTCATATAGATCACAAACTGTTTCCCATCATGAAGACAATCACTGTGATAAATTCACACCATACGTTATGATGTCATCAATAAAGTTATTTTTCTTACGTATATATTTTAATAAAACAGGCACGTAGCCAAGTATACAACGTTAGTGAAATAATATGTATTTTTTGGACATTTAATAATGGCGATCTTTAAATGCTCAGGGGGGAAGGGATTGTTAATAATGGGGAGTTTAGTCCCCATTGCTATCAATATACCCAATCAGGTCGACCTCCACGCGGTTCTCCCTGGAAACTATTGTGACCAATTTATCATCGAATTTGTCACAATGGGCTAACTGACCTGTCATCCTCACCTATCACCGCTCACTGGTACCCCGCTAGTGTATAATGATAGTGCAGACGGGGTAACCATGCCATTTTCATGCATAAAAAAAAACATACGCTCAAATAGGTCGGTGTAGGATAGGTGATAATACCGGCATTCCATTGATTCATGCTGTAGGTGCTGGATCTAACGTTAGGGTACATTTCAATCAAAATGAAATTGATTGATCAGTTGTTATTCAATTTTAAATATATATATACTAAGGTTTTACAACTAGTTAGTCAGGAAGGAAACTGACATAATAGATGATAACTCATGTGTAAACATCACCGGTCTAAAGTACGATAAACGATTTTCCAACTATACAGTGGCGTTTTCCAAGAAGTATGTCGTTTAATATAAAAAATTGTTTTAGTGTATGAATCTTTCATTATTGCATGTTTATACATATTAAGTGTATTAAAAAACTATTTAGCGGCAAGTATTCATAATCAACGGTTGTAGATAAACAACAGATCAGATATATTTACCTAAATATAAGTATCTGCTAACCTGTTTAATGCAAACATTATGTACTAGTTAGACAGTGTTTACCTACATGACAGAATGTTTTGCCATATTTGTCTTTTTTACCTTATTAGTGTACAGAAGCTAACAGTAAGTGTACCAATATATTAAATATTTTTCAATCTAAATAGGTGCATATTTGATATGATGCGAGTTAACATGAACTACGAGTTGAAACTCACCTTGTAGTTAAGACCTTGGACATCTTCCTCCAACGAGACATCTGAATACATGTCGTCCGTCGGTTCCCCTCCCGATCCACAGCCGGACGAGTTGAATGACGAAGACCGGTATAATTGGCTAAAACAATGTTAGTCATTCATTAGATAGTTTAATTTTATCATTAGGAATCAAGTTTTCAATTTATAGTATAACATGTTACTACTAGTGCCATCTTTTGCTAAATCGACTAACTTTGTTGTCGTCTATACAGTAGTGAATATTTGCTAGTACGACCATTTGATCACAGATGGCGCTCTGTTATTACCAAATAATATGTTATTTTCTCAGAGAGCAGAGTAACGAATGAATTTAATGAATTATTATAACTATACTACGAGCTCTACTCTTTTATAATTTCTCTTAAACAGATATTCATATCGATTCTGGAGACTTATTACTAAAATATTAAATTATAGATAGTGTGTTAAAATGTTAAAAGTATTGTTCCTGTTAATAAATATTTAAATGTACTTAATTCTAGAATATTTATAGAATTTATATGAGTAGTACCTGGCTAAGACATTGGAGCCAATTTGTCGCTTCCCAGAGCTGAAACAAATTAATATTTTATATTAGAATTTATTTCGAAGTAATTAGGTACGTAGAAAATATTAGTTTTTTAATATAAATAAAGAAAGATGGAAAAATATGTAAAAGAAGGCTTTTTTCGATTTAACATATGATGTCAAACTTCCACGTGAAAAGTTTTCGTTCGGTTTTAAACGGCATCGGTTTAGTGGCGATATTAGTGGAATATTTCGTATCAATTCCTAGATATTGTTGTTTGTCGAATTGCGGGACAGCCAGTGTAATCCCTTTATCATCAATTAGGCTATAAATACGCTGTTGAGCATAGCTCTCCCCTACAGATTGTTTATATGGAAGGATCCTGAGTCTACATGTACAACTATGCATATTGAGATTGTCACCCCATCTATTGGGAGGGCCAATATCCATTATTCAAGAAGTATATAAGCTACCTATCAAGAGATATGACGCATGAATATTTCAATAAGTCGGTTATTAGTCAGATTGCACCTACGTAGATCTCCCGTGCTCTCCATTTGTTTACCATTCCTAATAGCTACATAAAATAATAACTGGTTCTGAATTTTCTCCATGACGTTTTATTTCATAAGAATAATTTCTCATTTACCAATTATACCAAATAGCACGAGACGTCATAGGACTAATGCGGAACAAGAATAACCTAATAATGAAACAACAAGTAGAGTACATTTACTGAAAATAAGGAAATATTTTAACGTGTAATGCTATCACAATTAGTACATTTTTATTACTTACTCGCAACGCACTTATTGTGTTGGTAATTGTTACGTAAGTAGATATTACTTACTACTTATTTTTATGATCGTTCCCTAATTAATATATGTATTATGTTGTGAAAACGAGTGTCTTCTCCATTTCAAGTAGGTAACATGGCTGATAATTATAAAGGACCACGATGCGTGATATTTTTACGCGTACATACACACTTGTAGGTACATTATACATATCTTGTTACATTGTAACCGGTGAAAGGCATTGCAATTATCTTAAAATTCATGTTTAAATGTTTGTTTACCATTGTAAAACAATAAAAACAAAATAATGAAAAATAATTTATGTACATAATAATAATATTACAAAATATATTGTATAACAATTAACGTACCTTAATTAATTTGATATTTTTTTTAATGGGTGGTAATGGAATGGTAACCCCATCCGCGCTATCGGTATACACCGGCGGGGCACCAGTGAAGGATGATAGATGAGGATGAATTAAGTCAGTAAGCCCATCGTGACAGTACATTTAAACAGTACACACACATACTGTTTCGCCCATGATACCCCCAATGCGTTGCCATTTCTGAGGACTCAGGTGTTATTCCTCTGTACCCTGTAAATTCACGCCATATCCCACCCTTCAAACCGAAACACAGCCATGCAAACACAACTGCTTCACGGTAGAAACACGAATGGGACAAAGGTACCCAAACAATCGACTTTTGTACAAAGTCTCCCTCTGGTATAAACCTAACATGGTTATAATTTGTTATGTGTGCCTCATTAAAATAAATAAATATATAGATTGCAAAAAGAATTATCTTAATGTAATAAATGCGAAAGTTTTTAACGACGGATAAATGGATGGATGTTTGTTACTCTTTCATGCATTTATGCATCCAAATTTTATTCAAATCCGTTCAATAGTTTACTATTGAACGGATTTGAATAAAATTTGGTAGACTAGTAGGTTATTATATCCTTACTTAGCGCATATGATGCTTTTTGTACGTCACGCGGGTAAAGCCGCGGAATACAGCTAGTTATCAACACCGGTGATGATACCACGTAAAAAAATGTAGGTGAATTGAAAACGTCGTATTTTTCGAAGATACATAATAACATTATTTAACGTTTATCTATAAGTGGCATGAAATTATACTTAACCTTCTGAAATGAATACCTTTTGCACAACCTAACCTTCACTTAGTAGATAACTTGTAATCATAGGTTTTATAATAATTGCGAATTGTTCAATCCGTCTTAGTAATAGCGATCTTATAGTAAAACAGCAGGTTTGATACTTATAAGGGTAATTACAGTTTCTAAGAGAAGTTTTCATGTGCATAATCGCCAATCGCATAATTAACCCAAAATTGCAATCGAATGAAGTAATAATCACCTGCCAATTATTTTTATAAATGTAATTTCTTAGAAGTTTACTACTAGATACTATATTTACTGGACATTATTGTCGATGTGCATTTGTGACTGTAATTTTTTTTTTATTCTGTGATAATTAACGCCATACGGTGTTTAAGTCCGCCATTTACACAATATAGGTGTATTAAAAATAAATAAATAAATAAATAATTATTTAAAGCGAGATTTGATCAGTAAGTGAAAAAAATAATATATCATCAGGACTACTATTCTTAATGGAGTAGTCAGAGGCATTTGTCGACTGTTGCTGTTGTGGTGAACGTAATACTGGTATGCCCACATTTCGCCAAGTAATTAGAATTCAACATTTCATACAGAATTATTACGAGTAATAAATATTTAAACATCTGCAAACTGTCACACACTCCCTACATTTATTTATAATCACTTCAAAATCTTTGTGGACTAGGCAGAGAGAACCGAATGCCAAAAGCTTTTGTCCTTACATTGATTTCTTGATTTTTTTTCTTTTAATCTTTACTTGCGAGCTTTTAATCGTTAGCCGCGTGACTGGGAAAAAAACATGGCTTATGCCCTTCTTCATTTCAAAGTGTCTGCCAAACGTGACGAAAACCCGTTAAAGCGTTAAGAAGTAATAGAAAAACAACCTTACTTCCACATTTATAATATAAATAAGTATTATCCTAAAGAATCAGACTTAATTGATAATAAATTCTTTATTGCGCACAAAAAAGATTTTTACAAGTATACAGATATGTCTTTGGCTTGTATTCCATCTTATGTTGATAATAATAGAGTTACTTGTTAATACCTAGTAGACGTATAACCATAACATCATAACAATTTTATAATGAATAGGATGTCCGCGGGGAATGACAGAGAAATCGGCGGCTGCAACAAATGAGACGTGGGTGCGCGTGCGCCGTGAAATTGTGTAAGAAAGTAACAATCAAGCACATGAGGGTTTTCGACAACAACTACGGATACAATATCGCAACATGCAGGGATTGCTTGCCATAGTCTATGTGTGTCTACGACACTAGAGAATAGAGAACTTATATACTAGTGATGTTAGACATTATTCATAATTCATCTCATTTTTCGACTAGAATTCTATCTAGAAAGTGGTAAACTAGATAACTAAATAGACAGATAATGTTGAACGTTTTGTATTAGGACCGGATGTCGTCGTTTGTCATCTGGCAGACGTCAACCACAAACCTTCAATGTACGAGTAAGGATTGCATTGACAATAATTTACAATTCGATATCGATATACGCAATTGTAGTGATTACAAAGTGCTTATTAATAGGATCCTTGATATTTCCAAAATCTATACTTCTTTATTAATACTACGAAGTTTAGGTAGGCTCTGAACGTAAGTTTAGACAGATTTTTATATCGAAACAATCTGGCTCTAACTTAAATATTGACAAATGTATCGAATGCTATTACATTAATCAATAAGTAATCAATATTAGAACAAAAATGACATTTAAATGTGAAATACTTTTAAAATTCAATTATAAATTGAATTTAGAATATGATTTTGAATTTATCGGTGATATGGGATTACTTGTGTTTTATAATTTTTGTATAGAAACAAGTTTAAACACAATTTTTCGATGACCTTTGCGGAAAGTAGTTGATATGTGTATAAGAAAAGGTCGGTCAATTCAATGCTATTAGTAACAATATTTTGGACATATTATAAGTTACATAGGTCTATAAATGAATTATATTTGAAATTATAATATATTTAATTGTGTTGATATCTGGAGGTTGTTGCATAAATTCCTTTTCCAGTTTTACCAATATAAGATATTTATACCGTGGATATTATAATGATTATTTACTCGTTACCGAATAAGTACGTTATACTAAGTTTATGGAAATTTATAAATAGAACATGTTTATATTAAACATACGAATGGATAGTAGGAACTTAATTTATTTATAATATATTTCTCAGTTTATTTATTTTACAAACACATTATCTACAAGGTTTAACGGTTAGAACATTAATATGGTCAAACAAAGGTCGTCAGTTGAAAATATGTTACGAACGAACCAGTGCCGGATATCCGTCCTCATCCCCCTTTATAAATATTGTGGTCAAGTATGTTCTGTTAGTTTATAGGACAATGTGTGCGTATGCTAGGCGTGAACGTTCCAGTGCAGGTTTGTAATAACTAATACATTATATCTACGAAACCGCAGTAGTGTTTGATTTGCATTATTGTATTTTGTATACAGAGTACAATAAAAAAAGCAATGGAAAACTAAACAGTATTTTATTTCGACAGAAAATTACCAGTATTAATAATATTTTTATTACAATACACATACTCGTATGAAGTGTTATTAACAACTTACATTTAAACTAATATTATAAAGAGGAAAAATTGGATTGTATATTTGTAATGAATAAATTAAAAACTGTACAAACGATTTCAAAAATTCTTTCACTTATAATAAGCTACATTAATTGCGAGTAACATAAGTTACATGATCTACTTAGAATATCTATTTAGATAGAGTGTCTTTATACTAATGCTTCGCTAAAAACAAGTCAAAATTTTTATCAATACTGCGCAAATAGGGTTACTATAATATACATTTATTACTAATTGTATGGAAAAAAGTAAGGATAAATTGGAAAATGAAAACGATTCATATAATACATTTGAAAAAAGAAAAGATAATTATGTTTATCTTTACTGAATACTTTGATTCATATCTGAGTATAGATTTAATGTTTTCGTTAGTAAATAATTAAACATGACCGTCTGTGGTCAGTGTGTGGTTATGACATAGTATAGGCTACCCCTTTCTTTCCCGTGGGTGTTTATAA